TAGGTGCCTACCTAGGCAAGCTTAAGGACCCAGGTTTGATCCCTGGTACCACATGCCATGCCAGCCCTGCCCTGGCTGTGCCAAGCCAGCCACCAAGACTGGGTGTGGTGGCACACACCTGTAATCCCAGAGCTGGGGAGCCTGAAACAGGAGAATCGCTACAAATCTGAGCTGTGTAGTGAGACCCTATACCAAATACATAAATTTTTTTTTTTAAAGTATAAAAATGCAGAGTCTGGAATCCTAAAGTTGCAAGATTATCCATTCATTCACAAATAGCAAGTAATTGACACTATTTGCAGATGGGGAACCTCACTCCTTATTCATGTTGTGTATTGTAAGGAAAGTATATGCTTGTGAATTGTCACACCCAAGAATAGAAAAGAATGACTGCAAGAGGCACATTTTGTATAATCACAGTGTCTTTACTCTTATTTCTAGGTGCAAAGAAAAATCTAGAATCATTTAATTAAATCAAAGTCAGAATTTTATTGAATCAAAACCACATGTAATTGGATAAGGTGTTAAGCCCTTTGCAACAGTCAGTTTCTTAAAGCTTTACAGTGAAACATACAAATCATTCTAACAGAGAAACATCACTGTGTACTATTAAACAGTAGCCAGTAGGAACTACTGTACATGTAGACCTATGCTTAAAGGTCTACAGCTGAGAAGCGGAAAGTTAGCAGTAGCAAAGGGACCATGAATTGGCCATCCTTGAGGACTGGCAGAGTCCTACCCTTTATTTTTTTCTGACTTTTTTTTTTTTTCACTTTTCCCTTTCCTTTGAATCCTACCTTTACATTGCTAAACAAAGGGATCTGAAATCTGTCTTAGACCCATGCAATTTCCCAGTTCTTACACAATATCAGATCAAATGCTTGTGCCCAGTAATATACAGCTTCAATACCAGTTGGAACTGTTCTGCTGCTTGTACTGCATGATTAACACTTGTAAAATGTTTTACCCAGAATCCCTGTGAAACATCACTTGTCATTCAATTGCTTCAGAAGTTGGTGAGAGTCTTGATGGCAAGTCCCAGTCCCTCAAGTTTGAGATGTCCACAGGGTGACATGGGGACAAACCAAAGGCCCAGAGAGAAAGTGAGGAGGCTTCATACAATAGCTGGTGTTCTCAGGTTTCTCAGAGAACAGGTAAAGGCAAGAGGTGAAAGGCAAAGGCAGAATCTCTGCTTCAGTAGTTTCCAAGTCTATTTGTAAGTCACTGTAGAGCTTTTTAAAAAATGCAAGTTCAAGAGCTGGCCAAATAGCTCAGCGGATTAAAACACCTACTTAGGCAGATGCAGGTGCTGGGAGTTCGATCCCCGGCCTGCTGTGCCAGCCCCACCCCTGGTGCATATGAGGCAGAGATTGAGACTGGGCATGGTGGCGCACGCCTGTGATCCCAGCACTTGGGAGGCTGTAAACAGAAGGATCACTACGAGTCTAATCTATGCAGTGAGATCCTGTATACCCTGTCCGAAATACAAAAAAAAAAAGTTCTAAGGCCACGCCTTGAAGGTTATATGTTAGTATTGAGTACTGAATTTACTCAATGCACATCTATTGAGCGCAGACCTATTGATCCTGCCTCCTATGTGATAGGCAGGATCTAGTCCCTCAAACAATTCCCTGAACACTCACATCCTTTCGGTAGATTTGGCTCTGCCAGATTGGGTAAGAAGAACTGGTGACATGGCTGGTGAAACATTTAACCAACAATCAAGGTGAATAGAGAAAACAAAATCTGAGTACACTGTCAAAGGGAACCATGTGGTCAGGATGACTGGGGTAACATGGGAAATCAAAATCTCAGGAATGTTTCTTCTGCATTGCCCAGTTTCTACTGACCCTTCAGGAAGACCTTCACTGTTTCTACTGTTGTACACTAACGTTGCAAACTGTCCAGGCCTTTTGCCTAGGTTTCACAAAAGGCCCTTCAGATTTAGATAAGGGTATCTGTATGCATTAACTTTTTGTTGGAGAAAAGATGGGTCATTAGACCTTGGGAAGAATAGTTCTTATATTCAGCTTTGTTTTTTGTGCTGTTTTTAGTCAGTGCAGTGCCTCAAAACTACCTCCCACATGATAGGCAGGATTTTGGCAGCAGAGATGTGCATGCTGAAACCACGGAAAATACTTTTTTTCTTTTTAAATGTTTCCTTTATTTCTTTTTTTCATGGTCAGCTCAGCCTACTCTGGGGGCGGGGCTGGCATGGCATGTGGTGCTGGGGATCGAACCGAGGTCCCTGCATGCTTGCCTAAGCTTGCCTAAGCAGGTGCTTTAGACCACTGAGCTATCTCACCAGCCACCCGGAAAACACTCTTTCAAATAAAGAAATCAAGGCCCAGGTAAATTTTTGCCTGCATTCAGGTAGTGAGTAAAGGGCAGAGCCAAGATTCCAACAGGTGGGCTGAGAGGAGAACACATATCTAACAGTCTGCCTCAGGTCAGTTGAGTGCGCCACAGTATGCTTTCTCCTCGGATTCCTCAGATCATGGTTCACGAGTGAGGCATGGTGGGACGGGGGTAGGGAGGCAGAGGGATAGTGTGAGAGAAGTCTTGGTAGTGTGAGAACAGTTCTGTGCCTTTGCTGTGTGCTGGTTATATGCACACATCTACATGACAGTGACATCACACACACGAGTGTATCATGTTACTTGCCTTGTTTGAGTGTTGTACAATTGTTGTGCAGGAGGTAAACTGGGTAAAGGGTACATAAGACTTTTCTGTTTTTATTTTTTCCACCTTCCTATGACTCCACAATTATTTCTTAATAAAAGTGAGGCACATACCTGTGTTTGTCCTGTATCAAAGCGATCCTTTTAAGACTGGAGTGGAGAGAGATCATCCTTGAAAGGCAAAATAACTTCTGCTCAGAGCTAACAACTACAACAGCTCTGGGGAGGGTAAGGGCACACGGGTGGGGGTAGGCGCAGGCATGGAGCAAGTGTGCCAGTAAGAGACTCAATCACTTTGTGACTGCTCCAAGGGGGCTGGAACCAGATGCAGAACTTCTGTCGTGTAGTGATTCCCAGCAGGTTAGTGCCCAACTGTCCACCTAAAAAGCACCAGCAGGCCAAGTGTAGTGGTGCAGGTCTGCGAGCCCAGCACTTGGGAGGCTCAGACACTGTAGCAGGACTATCACCATGAGTTCGAATCCAGTCTGAATTATACAGCATTACCCTGTCTTGAAAAACCAAACCAAACCAAACACCAGGGGGAGAGCATCAAACACAGAATCGCTCTCCCACACCTACAGATTCCCACACCTACAGACTGACTCACTAGGTCCAGGCCAGGGTTCAGCAGTCTGTATTTTAAAAGCTTACCAAGTAATGTGTGGGTTTGAGAACCTTACATTAGGGAGCAGCTGATAGAGCAGATCTCTGATGTCATATGGGTCAGCCACCATAGAAATTGGAACCCGAGACCTTGAATTTTTTTTTTTTTTTTTTTTTTTTTTTTCCTTTTGAGACAGAGCTTTGCTATGCAGTTCAGGCTGGCCCTGGGTTCACTTTGTAGCCCAGGCTGGTCTCGAACTCACAACAACCTTCCTCCCTCAGCCTCCCAAGAGCTGGGATTATAGGAATGCAGCAGCACACCTGATACCAACCCCTTGAATTTTATGTCTGGTGTGGCTCAGAGGGCTACAGATTATATCATAGAAAACATCCAAAGTATATATACTTTTTTTTTTTTTTTTTGGTACTATGATTGAACTCAGGACCTTGGCAGGCGCTTATGCCACTGAGCATCTCTCCAGCCCCATGGAGCCCTTGCTGATGTTGTAGGCACCTGAACTAGAAATATTATAAGCAGTTAAGACAGGGCCAGGCCCTCAGGGAGACAAGATGGAAGACAAGGTGGCTTTGCAACTTGGAAGAGACAGACACTCCCATATGGGCCAGACCTCAAGACAAAAGAGGAAACAAATACAGCTACATACTTCCCTAGGAAGGGGCACCAGGGATTGATATTCTAATTAGGTATCCATCACCTTGAAAGAGCCCAAATGAGTCACCAGCCCAACCCCCAACAGGAAGAGACCCTGTCTAGTATTCATGCCAACTTGCTATGTGACTCATTCCCCATGTGATACTGGATTTAATCAATTTTACCTGAGCAATGGTGCTTGTAATCTCATTGGTTGACTATAGTTTTGTGCCACCTCATGCCTACCTAAGTGAGTTCGCATGTCTTCTCCACCACCTTAGACCCGCCTCACCGCATGGTTTTCCGCTATAGAAGTTCCTGGAAGAGACAGCTTCCTGGGGACAACCTGCTTGGGCCTCCCTCCTGTTCCTCTCTCAGACAGGAGCTTTCTTTCTCTCAATAAATATTCTGCTCATAACCTCTGTTTGTTCCTAAAATTCATTCTTTGGTTTTAGAGAACACAAACTCGTCTCAGGTACCTTTCAGGTCAGGAGACCATTTTCCCCCATATCACTGAATGCTGTGTACACATAATGAAATACTACACTGAATCCTCTTTTCTCTTGTGTTACTGCTACTTGGTTAACTTCTTATGGTAGAAATGCACGTGCAAACAGGGACATAATTCTAAATATGTTTGAGGATTCAAAGAGCATTAGGCACACTGTTAAGAACTTTTTCTTCTTTTTTTGGCTGTGACGAAATAACCATCAATAAGCAGCACACGTAGCGGAAGAGTCTACTGTCTCTTGTAGTGAGCAGTCCAGACAAAGGCAGGTGTGGCTGCTCTTCTCACAGCTCGGGAGCCTTTCCTTCGTGGTCACATAGTGACAGGCACAACTCCAGCCAGGCTGCATTCAAGACTGGATGAAGGGGAAGGGACAGGTGTTCTCCGCAGACTGCTACCTCACGGCCACTTCAAAGAGTCAGGGACTTTGAGTATTTTGCTTTTATTATAGTCTTCTGTGTTTGAGGTAGGAAAAGAAAAAGGGGTGGGGCTGGGTGTCAAATAAGCCACACTACTGTCAGCCACTGCTTTCAAGTTAAATGTTACCAAGCACTTGTTTAATAAATTTAGAAACATTGATCAGATGCAAAGTAATAAATCATCAAAAAATTGATGTGAAAATCAGACATAAAGATCTCCACTGTTAGTGATGCTACATGTTTGTACTGGTCTTTCATTCTCTGTTGGGACAAATTCTAGTTGTTTAAGAACTTCTGTTCCTTCGATCAATTGCCTATATAGGAGAAAAAGCAAAGCATATGGTCAGTCATCAATTTCCTTATGTAGCTCCCATTTCCCAGAATTCTGAGGCTATTACTTACACACCGAGGAGCAGTTAACCTCAGTCACGAATGTCTTAGGTCTTAGCTCTGGGTGTGTCTACCTTATCTCATCTGCACCTAGCACCACCCTCCAGGCAGCAGCCCCTTCCTGCCAGGAGGCAGTCTGCTGCAGTAGCTCCTGGCTGGGCTGGCTTCCTTGCAACTGCTCTGGCACCTGTCCCATTCCTTGTCACTGCAAGTCAGTGGAGCTTTCAGAAATACCTGATAGCACTTCCCTGCTCTTCAGATGTAATAAAGACCAAAACTTTCCTCCATGGCCTGTGAGGTCTGCATGGCTCCTACTGTCCCTCAGAGGCATCCTGCCATCTGCTCCCAGCTGCTCTCTGCTCCAAGCAGTTAGCTTTCAGTACATCACAAACCCCGTGCCCTCTTCCTGCTGCAGCTGCCCCTTGCTCTTGCTTTGCCTGGTCACCTGTGGGCCTTTCTTCCACTCTCAGCTGTCCCCATTTCCTCAGGGACGTTTTCCAGGTCTCCCTACCAGTCAAATTTCCTCTCTTTATATTTTTGGGTGCTGGGAATTGAACTCACAACCTTGCTCTTTCCAGGAAGGTGCCACTCCACTGAGCTATAACCCCAGCAATATTTATATATTTGTATGTTGCTTTAAATTCTGATTCTTGCAGGAAGACTACGATGGTGCTTTTGCTGAAAAGTTGGTGCCTAGCACAAGGCCTGCCATGCCAATATACACAGAGTGCGTGAAGAAAAGCTCAAAGCCTTGCTAGTCTGGACCTCTGGGGACACTTGCTGGCCATGAGTGGGAATTCTCTGAGGAGTGAAAGTAGACTGCTGATGGTCCTTTCAATTAGAAGAGGGTGGCATGGGGCAGCAAGATGGGCCTCAATATAGGACCAACCAACACCTTCTGCCAGTGCTTGGGCTGGGGCAGCGGCTCAGTGGAGGGGAGCAAGTTTCTGTAGGGGCGTAGTCTGCGCCAACACTTACCATGCTCTAGCCATTTCTTAGTCTGCCTCTGGGCTCTATGTTGCCATTTCAATGAGAAGCCATAGGGCTGTGGTTTGATGTCCCAGCCCCGACAATCATGGTGAGATGTGATTGCCACTGTGATGGCAGCGAGAGATGAGTGGCACCTTCAAAAGTGATACATCAGGCAGAGCCTCACAAATGACTAATGCCATTTTTTGGAGTAAGTTAGTTATCGGTGGAGTGGGCTCCTGATGATAACTCTAGCCCCTTCTGGCCTCTTACTGGCTCTTGCTCTCCTGTGCTTTCTCCCATGTGCTTCCTGGCCATGTGACTCTTTTCACCATGTTATGACGCAGCAGGAAGGCCCTCACCAGCTGCTGGCGCTGTACTCTTGGATTTCGCAGCCTCAAGAACCATAAACCAAATAAACCTGTACTGTTGATAAATTAACCTGTCTGTAGTGTTCTCTTATGGCATTAGGAAATAGACTGAGACAGCAGTTCCTGAATCTGTCTGGCACCAGAAAGGAGGAAGACACAGGGGTGGTGATGGTAAAGGCGACAGTTTCTGGGTTATAGTCTGATGAAGAGCACATGGCCTAGATCTCTCAATGTGCAATTCACAGCAAGGTTTGTTCTTTTTTTTTTTTTTTTTTTTTTTTTGCGGTACTGGGGATTGAACTCAGGACACTACGCTTGCCAGGCAAGCACTTATTCTACTGAGCTATCTCCCCGGGCCAGCAAGTTTTGTTCTAAGAATCTAATGCTGCTGCTCATCTAGCAGGAGCCAGGGCTCAGGTGGTGATACAAGCAATAGGGATGAAACTTTGTTCATTTTTCCTGCTGCTCACCTGTTGTGTGACCTGTTTCTCACCAGATGGTGGCCCAGGGTTGGAGACCCCTGGACTAAAACAAAGGGTAGCACAAGGTACATCCTGAGGCTGAAAAGCAAAGAAAAATGGGCAGATGTGCTTCTGCCCAATGAGGGCATGAAGTCTAGTCTCCAAGTAGGTTTCACAGATGTTGAATAAGCACTGGCTTTTGTACCCATCCACTGTGACAGGTGTCAGGGCATAAGATGAGTGAGACCCAGGAGAGAAGGCAAAGAAAGTTGGCTCTTTGGGTAATTAGAAAGGCTTCAGACCTAAATGTGGAACAGGATGTCAGTCAACTGGAGAGTGGCAGAAAGGAACTAGAAAAACAAAGCCTAGATAAACAAGTGCTAAAAGTATTAGTATTATGATCGGGCTGCTGTGCAGCTGACAGTCTGCAAATCGTGTCCAAATGCATATCTCTACCCCTCATCCAGCCTGGCACACTGCTAACTTGCCTGTGCTACAGAGAGCTTAATCTGAGACACAACCTGTCCAGCCTGAACGCATGATCTTTTCTCCCCAGTGGTCCTCTTTTTTATTGCCTATCTTGGTGAATGGTACTAACCATCCACTCACTTCCCAAGTTCTAACATTTGCTATGGACTTGCACTGGCCAGTATATAGCCACTAGCCATATGGGATCATTTAAATTTACTTAGAATCAAATAAAATATGGTTCCTTCATGGTGCAAGCTGTATTTCAATAGTTCTGTGGCCATGTATGGCTAGTAGCTGTCATACTGGACAGTACAGATTATAGGATGTTTGCATCAGCATGGAAAACTACTGGATAGCACTGGCCTGGACTCCTGCCATCCCCTCCCCAGCACCTACGCCTGTGACTCTAACTTCTCAACCCCACTGGATCTGCCCACTCACCCCCACTTGCCTGTACCGCCAGCTCTTCAATGATGGCTTGTTATGAGCCACAGTCTCTTAACTGGACTCACTTCATTTTCATGCTTTGCTAATTCATTTATGTTAGATACATCTTTTCTGGTCATACTGTCCACGATATGAAGTTCTTCTATGGCTCTCTGTCACCTTGGGAGAGATCCCCCCACCCCCGGCGCAGGGGGCACCTCTGGCTTCACCCCCACTGTCTCTGCTCTGCCCCAAACCTAGCTCTAGCTAGGCCCAAAGACATGTGAGAAGATTTCATCGTATGGCTCTTCTGCAAGCATTCCTTCATTCTTCCTAAAATGATTTGACGAAATGTGACTTCCGCCCTCCTGTGTTATGTTCCTAACTCAGCTCATCCCCTTAGGAAGTTCCATTGATCTCCTCCCCACTTAATTCTGTCTTCTTAAAATGACATTCATTTCCCCAACATACACTCACTACCTTATATACACGAATGGGGATCTTATAAGAAAGATCCTACAAGGAGCTTTAAAATCCTTTCCCTGTGAGGCCATGGACAAAAGGCCCTTCTCAGGTTATCAGAGATGACAAGTTCATGTGCCAGAGGCTAGAGCTTAGAAAAAGGAAATTCTGTTTCTTTCTGGACCTTGTAGCTGTGTCTGAGCTTCCACAAGCTGAGATGACAGAGAAGAGCAGCTCACCAGCTGGATCCTGAAAGAGTTACACATCACCCGCTTTAACCAGGTTGGTTGTCTGTTACCTTATTGCCCTTATGCATGTCCCTCATGCTCTGTAAGCTGTAAGAATTCCCCTGAGCTGTCACTGTGGCTTGGAGATTCAGACTCAACTGAGACCATTTTTGGGCCAGAACAATTGAAGGGGTGCAGTGCCTCCCTCAGGCCAAAGCGGTAATGACAACCAAAATTATATATTTCCCTCCAAAAGAGAATCACAGAGACTAGGAATCATGGGAAACAAAACCAAGCGCTCTTTCACCCCACTGCCATCCTGTAAGGATCTGAAATTGCATTTACTAAAGAAGGTGCAGGAGTTGTATTACCTTGGCCTCAAACATCCCCAGTACGTTCTTTACATTCACTGAGGTACAATTGCTTTTGTTTTGTTTTTTTAAACCTTCCTTCCCTAGTGTACTCTAAGCCCCCTGAAGAGACGTTGAGCCTCATTGTTCTTTCCCCAGCACTGAGCACCAGGACTAGCAGAGGACAGGTATCTAATTAAATTTTGTTTGAATGAATTAGGAGGGTATCAGAAATGACAGCTGCAAATAAGATGTGGGCCTGGAAAGTGTGAGACACAGAATGCCACCCTGGACTTGGGGCTCTAGGCACCTGCAGGAGCGGGTGGTGACAGAAGCATTACAAGTTTCAGAGCAGTTGTGTTTGTGTTTGTTTGGGAAAAGTAACTTTAATGAGATACAAAGATTCACCAAACAGTTGGTAGAAAGGGCAGATTGGCAGCAAGAGAACAAAATGGAATTTAAATGATCCAAAAAGAGATGCGGGTTATGTGGATTTTTTTTTTTTTTAATTTTTATTTATTTGTGTGTGTGTGTGTGTGTGGCAAGCTCAGCCCACCAGGGGGCGGGGCTGGCTGGCATGTGGTGCTGGGGGATTGAACCGCGGTCCCTGTGCTTTGCTAAGCTTGTTCTAAGTAGGTGCTTTAGACCACTGAGCCATCTCACCAGCCCATATTTGGATTTAAATTTAATTCAAGCAACCATTTCCAAAATGAGGGGAGTACAGTTTATTTAGTATGAGGGGAAACTGAAGACATTTCATTACTTTAGCTTATGAACCTATGATTACTTTTTGGATCCCAATCTACTTTCTACTTTTTCAACTAGAAAATATCACAGAAAGCATCAACTAAAGCAATTATTGTTGTTAAAAGTAGCTGGGTACTCAGGAGGCTGAGGCAGGAGGACTCCAAGTTAGTGAGATCCTGTCTCATAACAAAAATTAAAAAGGGCAGAGGTTGTAGCTTACTGGTAGAGCACAGTGAGCATGAGGTCCTGGGTGCAGTCCTCAGCCACAGCCGTGTACATGTGTGCATGCACGCACGCACACACACACACACACACACACCCCAACATGGACATGAAATTCTCTCATGAGTTGAACAGTGAGTATCCCTATGGAGTGGCTGAAAGAACCTAATAGTTATCGGAAAAATCTTAACACTTCATATTGCTTCAAGGAAGGCAAAGTCAGTCCTACCTCATATTCACTTCAATAATTAAACAAAAAACATGAAACACTGTGGAGTGGTTAAAAGTACTTCCATCACCAATGTCATTGGCATTGTAAACATCTGGCTAATCATATTCTCATAATAATAATTATTAGCAAAGCTTCTGTATTTAAGATTGTTGAGTAAAAGGAAGTTCCCTGTTGCCACTGACGGTTTTCACTGGTCTCTGCAGAGTGTTCCTGGACAATTCTCACTTTTGCACAGAAAGACACCTGCACTGCGAAGCTCAGTGGTGTGACTTGGGGTAAATCAGAACTGGTGGGGACAGACAGATACCTGAATAGATAAACACAGCACGATCCTGGCTGTGCCTTTATGGATAGGAAGCTCCTTACAGAACATTGATAAATACGCCTGTCTGTATTTATACTACTTTCCCCCCCTCTATCACAGAGACTGTGCAATGCTCATGAAACTTTTTGGGCAAATGTGACTACAGCACACACACATACCTACAAAGTACGTACCCAAATGCCACGTATTTCCTATCTAGATAGGGAGCAGCTTGTAGTGTAACATAGAACTGTGACCCGTTGCTGTGACGGCCTTTGTTGACCATTCCAAGAACTCCTCTTTTATTATGAGGAATTGAAAAGTTTTCATCTAGGAAAGACAATAATCAGTAGATCAATAAAACATTCCTATCATTGCCATTGATTTTAACAGGAAGAAACAGGACTTTGGTAATAATCTCAACCATACATATCAATACACTTCAAATTGTAAATACCCTTTTTCCCATATTACCTGCAAACAGTCACATGGACTGGGTTCAGCTAAAAGAGATACTGTAAAATCTGAGAACTATTTGAGCATTTAGTTCTAGTTTATCTTTATCATAGCTAAAAATAAGTGTCAAGAAAGTAATGTAAGAAGTACATATTCAGTTTACCAATAAGTATCTGGAAACCTTCTCGTGCTGTGTTGGCAGCAGTATCTTATTCAAACTACCAAGGTGATTGTTAAAAAACACTTCTTCATAGTGTTAAACATATATCAATAATTTTTTCTTAGATAAAGGCAATTAAAGGGCTGGGGATATAGCTCAGCAACATAAACACCTGCCTGGAAAGTGCAAGGTCCAGAGTTCAATGCTTGGCATAAAAAGAAAGAAAGAAAGAAAGAAAGAAAGAAAGAAAGAAAGAAAGAAAGAAAGAAAGAAAGAGAAAGAAAAAGTGATTAAAAAAGAAATCCTTCTTTGAAAAGTCTTTGCTAGGCCTGTCCCTTCCCTGGTAGTATCTTCCTCTTAACTCTGACAGCCCCAGACACTGCCTTGCTGAGGTGTGGCCTTGCACACTGACAATCAGAAAATTAATTTGTGCTCATTGTTACATCTTTCAAGTATATTTTGCTCTCACACCTCACAAGGGTTGACCAAGATTTTGTGGGCAGCAACAGTTTTCTTTTAGTGTAAAGTTAACAAGTAGCTGGGCGTGGTGGTGCACAGCTATAATCCCAGTGCTCGGGAGGCTGAGGCAGGAAGAGTACTGCAAGTTTGAGACAAAGTGAGCTCAAGGCCAGCCTGAACTGCATAGTGATACTCTGTTTAAAAATAAATAAGTATTAAAAAATAAACTTAACAAGTAAAAAGAATTGTATAGTGGTGATCAAGCTACCGTCTTCTGGAAACGTCATTTGCGGTTCTGCCTCCAAGTTCAAATGCACAGAAAGAAATGATGGGTTAGATACTCAGGGAGGGTTTGTACTCAGTAACTGTATAAAGTTCTGAGAGCAACCAAGAAATATGAACATTAACTGCTAATGAGATTTTACTGTGCACTTGCTGACTGTTCTATCACTTTAAGTTTCAAAACAAAGCAAACTAAACAGTGAAGCTATAGTGCTGGTAGCTCTTGTAGCCTGCTCAAAGCTGAATAAGGACGTCTGAAATATTATAAAAATGCAACTAAGCGGGGCTGGTGAGATGGCTCAGTGGTTTAAAGCACCTACTTAGAACAAGCTTAGCAAAGCACAGGGACCGCGGTTCAATCCCCCAGCACC